GTCCTGCTGGTGTGAAGGGTTGGTTGGCAGGCGTGGGAGGTGGAGGTCCCGCTGGTGTGAAGGGTTGGTTTGCAGGCGTGGGAGGTGGAGGTCCTGCTGGTGTGAAGGGTTGGTTGGCAGGCGTGGGAGGTGGAGGTCCCGCTGGTGTGAAGGGTTGGTTGGCCGGTGTGGGAGGTGGAGGTCCCGCTGGTGTGAAGGGTTGGTTGGCCGGTGTGGGAGGCGGAGGTCCTGCTGGCGTGAAGGGTTGCTTGGCAGGGGCGGGGGGTGGAGGTCCTGCGGGTGTAAAGGGTTGTGGTTGGTTGCCAGGAGTGGGAGGTGGAGGTCCTGCAGGTGTACCAGGTGCCTGGCCAGCAGGTGTGTAGGGCTGATTGCTTCCAGCTGGGGATGCCGGCGTTGGGGGAGGAGGGCCTCCCGGTGTATGTGGTTGGTTGCTTGCTTGTGAAGCTGGGGAGACTGGTGGCATCCTTTGATCGGATGTCTGGGACGAGCGCGTTGGCGGCGCAGGACCTGCTGGCGTGTGTGGCTGATGTAATGATGCTGGGGTCGGAGGCGGTGGTCCTGCTGGCGTACTCGGCGGTCTTGCAGCCCCAGCCGGTGTCTGTGGTTGTGCAAAAGCGGCTGCAGGTGTTTGGGGCTGCGGTCCAGCCGGTGTCTGTGGTTGTGCAAGACCAGCTGCAGGTGTTTGTGGCTGCACAAAGGCTCCCATCGGCGTCTGGGGCACGGCGCCTGCTGGGGTCTGCGGCATTCTAACTGCACCTGCCGGGGTCTGCGGCATCATGGATGCACCTGCCGGTGTCTGCGGGGCTGCGCCTGCTGGGGTCTGCGGCATCATGGATGCACCTGCCGGTGTCTGCGGGGCTGCACCTGCCGGGGTCCGGGGCATCATAGCTGCACCTGGGGTTTGCGGCATCATGGCTGCACCTGCTGGTGTCTGTGGTTGCGCTGCTGGAGTGAAGGGTTGAGCAAGCGGAGGAGTGGAGGGAACTTTCCGTGTAGGGGTGAAGGGCTGCACAGACCCAGCGGCTAACCGTGGCGTGGAAGGTATGTTCATAGGAGTGGAAGGTGTTCTTCCAAGCTCTCCAGCAGGGGTTGACGGCAGAACAGGTGTCGATGGGATCAGACCTTGAACGGGTGTATGGGGTATCGATGAAGTGTGTATGGGCGTGGATGGGATGATTCGGGGTGTCCCTGGCATGGCAGGCGGTGTTGCGGGTATCGAATTCATGACCAAGCGGTTGCCTGGTGTCATTGGAATTGCTTGTCCAGGGGTTGATGGAATAAAGGGCGTTGCTGGTATCGACTGTTGGATTCCAGCTGTCCCTGGTGTTGCTGGAGTGGGTGTTCCTGGAGCTATGCTTGCTGTGGGTGTCGCTGGCACTGAATCCAGCACTTCCTTTGGACTTGCAGGAATTGAAGCCAAAATTGCCTCCATGTTTGGGGTGGCTGGAGCTGGGGTGGCTGGAGCCGAGAAGTACGCTGGTTGGACAGGCGTACTTGGCATTGACCCAAGAACTTTGGTAGTGTTTGGTGTCATCGGCAAGGTTTTGAGGCCTGGTGTAGGTGGCACTGGCCCACCCGGGGTTGCTGGCATCTTCAAGTGACTTGGGGTCATCGGCGCCGGCATAGGACGTTGTATATATCCAGGTGTCATGGGCTGTCCAGGCGTCATCGGTGCTCCAGTAGGCGTGTTTGATGCGATCACATTCATGCCTCAGTAAAATCCGATGCCCCAAGCTCGTTTGAAACAACTGGGTTGCTGTTAAGGATCTTCAAGTATATTACTATAATGAGGAAATCCCACTAATTACTATATGCCCATATTATGGTAGCTGATTTTACACTCCTTGACAGCAACCCAGGCAATTTTCTGAGTGCCGCTCCCGGTGTAGAAGGCACGGAATGCAACACAGTGGAGTATCCAGATTCAGCTTCCTTGAAGTCCTGGGATTTCCCAACTTGAATATGTGGGGCATATGGGGACACATAGGGGTCTGTAGGGCTAGGGTCTGTAGGGTTTAGGGTTTAGGGGTTCCCGAACACATGGATATTATCCCCCAATGATGGAAAACCAAATGGAAAAGACAATGGAAAGGGGCTTATAGGGATGAGGGTCCCCCAAAACTAGGGGTAGTTTTCATAACAAGGACTATAGTATTTTGGTGTCTACATTGGGTCCCTTTATCATTTTCTGAAACTACCACATTGCAATTCGTCATAGGCCCTAAACCTTCACAATTTGCTGCCGAACGACGACGACCTCTGGCTCACCTCAGTGTCAGAGTTTCTGCTCAATGCTAAATCTCCAGACAGAGTCTGAAGTTGCAAACCTTACGCATTTGCTATACATGTGTGTGTGTACATACGTTCTGCACATGGTGACATACCATTGCCTGCCCTCAACCATCGCAACAAAGACAAGCAACTCATGTCATCCACCTCCATCTCCTGCTCGATGAGCTTGTCCTGGGTTGCGGTCAAGGAACCTACATTAAGTTACCACCATATGCGCAGATAGTATATATTGTTACTATTGCTTAAATTAAGTTACCATAATATGGGTATACCATAAATATTGTGAGTGTGGTAACTTAACCCTAAGCCCTAAACCCTAAAAACCTAAACCCTAAAACCCTAAACCCTGTGGGCTAAGGTTCCTTAACAGCAGCCCAGAGTCCGGCTTTGCGGCGCTGGGGGCCGCTCTCTCAACAACTTTGACAACATCAGGAAGCCTCATCTGAGGAGTGTTTTGTGGTGCTTGAACCAAGTAGGGAAACATTCTTCCTCTACAACACGAACAGAAAACGAGGATGTAAGCTTACCCTAAACATCCAAACCCTCTCATACTGAGGACTGTCCATATTCATCCGTGGCTACCTAGCTTACGAGAATGCTAGGAAGTAGGGTGTAGGGTTAAAAGTCCTGTGCACACCCACTGCTAGCGTTGTAGTAGGCAAAGGCACTGAGTTTGGTAAGGTTCTCATTGCCACTAGCCGGTCTGCGTTCCGCGTCGGGGCGCCGCTTTCTGCCGCAAACGACACATGGTAGTTTCCCAAAGCAGGAGGACCGGCCCCAATGTAAACCCCAACATACTGTGATCCTTGTCACAGGGACCCTCAAGAAGGGACCCCTAATCTTGAGACACCCCCATTTCGTACCAGCTGGTACAAGCGTTCACGAGCCTCTACTTACCGAAATCGATGGGGGAGGGGATCAGAGGGTAACTTCCCCCCAAGTAGCAGCGCAAGAAGCAATGATGAAAACACTGGCAATGGCAGCAAGGATAACGTAATTAGCTATATGTTAATCTGAGCACTGCATTAAAAAAAGGGACCATATTTAACAAATTTTGTTTGCGTAAAATTAGCATCCAAAGACTAGCTACAATTAGGTGGCTTTCCTAAGAGGATAAGGGACTACACTTAAAGAAAATTTCTGGGAAACCAATCCTGATAATAGAGATATTCAATACATTCCTGTTCATTTTTCTAAGTAAGCGAGGTCCAGGAGTTCCAATGACGCAGGAATGCATTCCTGTTCAATTTTAATTGGTTTAGGGTTTAGGGTTTAGGGTTCCAGGAGCCCCAATCATTCCTTTAATCTGGCGCCCTCAATTTCTTATTCTGGCTGGGGGGGGTCCCCCCCAAATTAATGAAGTGCTCAGATTAGTACCCAGACTCTTGGTATCCTCCTTGATAACCCTTATAACATTCCCCTATATAATCCCCTATATATCCCCCTTTAAAGAGTTTAGACTACGTTTCATATACAACATGATAGAGCAGTGCCACCACGGAGCGCTTCCTGAAACCATCCTCGCTCCTTCCATTTCCCGAGGATCTCAAAGAACTTTGTGGCCAGGGCTGTCCGCGAAGCAACTGCTTGGATTGCTCGCTTGAAAACATTGCCTGGGCAAGACATGGTCGTTAATCAAACACTTCTTTCTCCCCAAGTTGCCATTATGGAAAATAGTTTCCCCCATACTTTGCGTGTAGACCTGCAGGACCCCGAAATATTTTTTCCCCAAAGGACCTTCATGGTAGTTTCCCCAAATAAAGGGACCCCAAGACCCCAAAATACTATAATCCTCACAATGGGGACCCCCAAAAAGGTACCCCTTTTGGGAAACCCCCAGATCAAGCCCGACATGCCATTGCCAGGCTTGGGGGATATCATGGCTGCATCATCATCGTCATCATCAACATGGGAGTACCGCAAATTAGGAGTACTTTTAAAGGAGTTTATGGGGGTTATATAGGGTTACTATACAGATATATAGGGTTTAGGGCTTAGGGTTTCCCAGGTTTAGGGGTACCTTCTTGGGGGTCCCTATAACAAGGATTGTAGTATTTTGGGGAATATATTTGGATCCACGCTGGAACCCGACTGGGTCGGAAGGCAATTGGGTTTGGAACCTGCTTCCGGTAAGCTCCGGCGGCACAACTTAATGACTCCGGCAAAGAAAGCCACTACCGAAAAAAAGCGGCAGCCAGGCACAGCCCATGGGAAACCGCAGCTGGCGCCGGCAGTCTTTCAGGTAAGTGAGCTTCGACAAAGCCCGCACTTATCTGGCGGAGGGGAGGGGGATGGGATCCTATCCACATGCATGCCGAGTTCAGCGCCACAAAGTAGTGCAGGCCAGTGCCCGAGTGACCAATCATGATTGTATGCCGGGCCAGCGCTGCATGGGACTGAATTGTCCGAGAAAAGCGCATGATATGAAATTGTAATACTATTTGTAATTGTAGTGTAATAATAACAACAAACAATAATGGTCGTAAAAAAAAGAAGTAATAATATAATAATAATAATAATATGGCCCACTCAGAGCTCACGCTCACGCCTAGCCGCCGAGCTACCTCTACATGAAACCTGGTCTCGGCATCGGACCAATGCCGCGGCATGGCCAAGCACAGCTAAAAGAGCTGGGCCTAGACCATAAACCCGAAGCCCTAAATCCTAAATACTGTAGTAGCTTCCATTTTCTTCTCCAGTATCCCTACATGACCCCACGTTATACCCGCCAGTATAATCCCACCCTAACACCCTAAACCCCCTCTGCCTCCTGAACTCAGCACCTTCCCGAGGAAGGTCCCAGGGGCTCCACGCGGGGAAAAAGACACGCACCGGACCCTTATGGGGACCCTTGTAGCTTATGGGAGGGATCAGTGGCAATAGTATTGGTCAGGAATGCAGGGGATATACAAGGCTTACGGAGCAAGAGCTTGTGGTGCCCTGAGCTTAGAGGGCGCCTGGCAAATGGAAACACCAACCTGACGCGGTATGCAGCCGTGGGACGCAAGTGCTTCTCAAGTCTGCTCTCATAGAGACTTCGAATCTCCTGCAGGTAGCTGATTGCTGCAGAGAAGCAGGAGCCGGCAAAGCAAACAAATGACTCATGACTCATGATGCTTCAAGTTCAGTATCCAATGCCAATCAGGCTGCATCAACCTCTCAGATAGGCTCCATCCTCGTCTCTGTTCTTTGCTGCATGTCTGAGGATCGAGTCAATCGTGAAAACGGCAGTCTCTTGGTGCGCACCGTCGTCCTGCAGCAGGCAACTCACCAAGTTGTCGGTTGGGTGACAGGTAAATTTTACGTCGGTCGGGCGTTGCTCTGAAGTCACTGATGTTTAGGGAACGTTGCTATTGCTCACTGGCAAGCCCAAGATGCCGTGGCAAAGCCAGCCGTATGAACTGTGACTTGGATAACGCCCCGACCGTAGAACAGGTCCTGTAGTACTCTAGTGTTGCTGTTGACTAAAGGTGGACCCTTACAGTAGGGCGGCGATTATGTACATTCTAGTTCGGCGTGGGGCAGCATCGAAACTATGACTCTGACAATCTTGTTACAACAGACTCTTTCGTTCCGGCTGCGGGCCTTCGAGACCAAGCGCAACCGACAGACAACGTGATCGATGCCTGCCATGTCATTCCCTAGGGTCTAGGGTTTAGGGAAAAGGATTCGAGCATTACTTCAAGGTTCATGACTCAGTTACTACCTATGACTGGGCCTATAACCCTACATATCATCTCCCTAGATAGACTTATGACTTATGTATGTTGCCCCAAGTTACCGCAATTACAAGCAGGGTTATACGCCCAGAGATAAGTAGCTACTAAATCCAATGAACCTTCAAGTACCTGAACATCTGCAGAGGATCTCCAATGGGTCACCTATGTAAAATGACGAGCAATCAACTTGCGGATATAGGCTAAAAAAACGACTATCCCCCTTGATAACAACTATCATACTTCCCTAGAAAATCACCTATATATCCCCCTTTGAGGAGTTTAGACTATGGCTCATATGCACAGGCATGCAAGCTCTTGCAAGATGAATCTGTTTTACATCAGGGCTGGCTGATTGTGCTCATATTGGGTTGCTGTTGAGGATGTTAATTCATGTTAAGGGTTTAGGGTTAGGGTTACTATAATCAGTAAACCCTATGGCTTGCAATGTACCCATATTCTGCTAACTTAACTTACGTTCCTTATCAGCAACCCAGTCATGCGATCAGTTCATCGAAGCTCATGCTCACAGCTAATGTAGACCCCTGATTAATAAACCCCCTCCTTTTAAGGACCTTAATATTAGGATCCCTATTATAATCCCCATTAAGGGGAGGGGGGTTTAACCCTAAACCTTAAACCCTAAACCTTACACCCTAAACCCTAAACCCTTCATGAGGGGTCTAGATTAGACAGCCAGGCCTGCGTCGGTTGTCATATCCAATGCCACCTTCGCAGCCGCATGCACGTTCTCCGTGAGGATTTTCTGCGCATTGGATACTTGGGTTTAGGGTTTAGGGTTGAAGTTTAGGGTTTAGGCGGTTTAGGGTTTAGGGTATGTTCTTGGGTTGGAGGGTCAGGGAGACCTAGTTAATAATGGGATAAGCAGGGATATTATCTGGAATATAGGGGTAGAAATACCTACTTACAGTAAGTAGGTTAATACCCCCCCCATATTACATATACTGACCCTGCTTATCCCCATTCTTAACCTACTTACTAAGTCCCCATGACCCTCAAAGTAAGGGTTTAGGGTGTAGGGTGCATGGAGAACAACATGGAAGAGAAATGGAAAATGACACGGACACTTGATTTTTTTGATGGGATCATCTAGAGACCTTATGGGAGATCCAGGACTCAATTGTGGAGGTTTTATATCGGGACTGGGTACTTGGAGGGTCAGAGGGACTTAAGAAGTAGGTTAAGGGTTTAGGGTTTGGGGTTTGGTGTTGAGGGTTTGGGGTCAATCCCTATAGTGACCTTACTTATCCCCAGTATTAACCTAGTTACTAAGTCCCCCTGACCCTCCATAGTAGTGAGGCATTCAGCGGGAAAACTCAGTGGAGCAGGGCTTGGGCCCTGGAGTTGGAGGGACAGGGGGACTTAGTGAGCAGGTTAGAGATGGAAAGAAAATGGAAACTACTTTCGTATTTAGGGTTTGGGGGTTTTGGGGGACTTGATGAGTAGGTTATTGGGGATAAGTATGGTTTCTAAAGCATTCTTAACCTACTTACTAAGTCTCACTGACCCTCCAAGAAGTGAAGTGACTGCATTCCTTTTTAGCGGAAGCTTCTCAAAGTAGAGATGGGATTGCAAAAGGCTTATGGGAATTTCGATTACCCTAAACCCTAAACCCTAAACCCTGGATAAGTTGGATGAGCTCCCGAGCTTCAGCAATGTGACACTACAAGAGGACCGAAACAGTAAGCGTGTGAAAGCCCTTGACCCTAAACCCGAAACCTTAAACCCTAAACCTTAGCATGACCCAAGATAAGCCCAATATAACCCTAATATAACCCCAACATAACCCTAATATAACCCGATAGAACCCCAATACAACCCTAAACCCTAAATCCTAAACCCCTAAGCCCTAAATAACCCCAATATTCAATGTCCCCGTCCTTCTGGTCAGACTGAGCACACCTCAGGGCATAGTCAAACTTCTGGATCTGCCGGTACTCCTAGGAAGTCTCAGATTGGAGGTTTAGGGTTTAGTTTTTTTTTTTGACGGACCTTTTTGCAGCCGCACGAGGTGACTGTAATGCTAGTAGCAAGGCCGGAGACAGACCATCTTCCATACAGCAAGCATACGGATTCAAACCAAAAAAAAGGCCACCACGGCACCAAGCCCTTACAACTACGGCGCCATAGGCCAAATCCCCAAACACAACTTCAAGAGGTATCCACAGCAGTCACTACCGGGACCCTCAAAACAAAAGCACACACAGCCCCTCTCAGTAGCCGGGTTTAGGGCTTAGGGCTTAGGGTTTAGGGGGGTTTAGGGTTTAAGGAGGTTTAGGCTTTAGGGTTTAGGGCGTCCTGGAGAATCCACTGCCCATAAGAAATGACTCTACCAAAAGATATTGAATAATTACTTGTAGTCTGTCTTTCCGCGGGTCACTGAGCTTCTGGAGTCTTCAGCCCCTCTCCTGCTTGGTCTTCGGGAACGGCAGCTCGTACCGCTTCCAATCCTCGTCGAAGGCGGAGAGGTACCCCATGACTCAATGCGGGCACAGGGCGTTCCTGATGTCCAGAAACAGGTGAAACAAGGCTTGCGAGATTACTTCTCACCCCTCTGAGAACCATAGTTGCAGCTCACCCCTTGCCTCACGTCACCCATGTCACCCCATAGCGTCTGGAGTGCCACTCAAAGGTAGCTTGGGATATGCGCTGAATTAAGGTGGGCTTGCCGGATCCTTTCTGACGTGTGCTAGGCATTCGTGGCGATGCAACCTCTGCGCGTTGTGGGCATGACCTTGATTTGAGCCGACCTGGGAAACAAGACAGAGCCAACACCTTTACGGCTTCATGGGCGATTCATCAGGTTCCAACTGCTAGCCACCTGCAATGGCACGAGGAAATCTCCAGCCACTTGAGCAGATGACGACCGGCCCTGCCGCACATTTTGATGCGAAGTCTGCAGGTCTGTCCCAGCTCTTCACGTCTGCGTCGTTCTCAGCCTTCATGCCTTGCGCAGGTCATCTGAGATGGCAGTCATGGGAGCTTAGTATCGCCTCATGCCCGAAGGTAGCGGAATCAAGTGAGGCAAAATATGCAAGCATGTCCGTAGATTGCAAGAGGCTTGGGTTCACTTGCGGGGCCTTTGCGTCAGTCAAGTGGCTGTTTACATAGATTTCATCCACTTCACACCTGCTTGGCGTGCGCTTTCCAACGATGATCGTTCTTATCGAAGTGGTTGTACAAAGATCCAAGATTGCCAGCCTGCCAGTATTCTCTTGATCAAGGGCATACTGACCTCCGGATCAGGCATCGGTGCAAGATGGACCTGGCAACGTACAAAGCCCTGCGGATCTCACTTGCAAACAGTTTTCTGCAAATCTCCAGCTCATGATGTTCAGAGTGATGCCCGCCTTGTTCATCAGATCAAAGGAAGCGCACGATTTTGGTCAAAGAGTTTAGCGGGCTTCGCAATGTGAAATTGCTTAGCGCGGACATGGCCTGCGGACAAGTTGTAAGGCAAAGTTAGCTTCGACAACTTGCACGCCAGCGCTTCATTCTGCACATGCGTGCAGAAGGATGGCAAGAGAGGCCTGCCGCTGGGAAGGAAAGCGACGTCAGAATGCGCTTCCCATCGACTCCTCCCAAAGATGAGGCTAGCAGGCATCAGCACCATGTCGCTCAAGCAGTGCAAGTGCCTGTGACGCATGTCTCGATTCAGCAAGGCCTGATGACCTGAATGCACGCCTGAGTGCCCAGCTCTGACCACTGCCCCCCCCCCAAAAAAAACTTGACGCAGTTTCCTGCTGCAATCGCTGAAATGTGAAAATCTGGCCAACCCCCATACTCATGAGAAACCCCCAGCAGGTGATGTGCTTTTCTGCGAGGCCCTTCCGCCAAGCACATGTAACTTGCAGTCCAATTCAGGGGCGGTTGCCTGCCTGCAGCAACGGTCCACTAAACTTAGCAAAACGGAAGTCTGCTTCTAAAGACTTCTTGCCTGGGAAAATGCCATTGCACTTTCCTGAGGTAATGGCTCTAGCAACTCTTTCACAGGACAACCTCTGGAAATTGAGCTCACCAGAGAGCAGCGCATGTGCAAGCGCTTGCCGGGGCATCACCCTCAATCTTCATATCCTTCGCATCACCACCAAGCGGTGAGTCCTGGGAGCTTCTCCAAATAAAGGCAATCTGGGGAAGCCTAGGGGTAATTTCCATTTTCTTTTCCATTATCCCTATAAAACCCCAATGTATATACCCTATTATAGTAGTTTCCATTTTCTTTTCCATTATCCCTATAAAAATGGGGTACCCCTAAAAATCCTAAGGGCACGTAGGCGGGAAGAACTTTAGCAGGATTAGAGGGATGCCTTTGGGATCAACTAGGATTCTTCACTTGTTCAGTGGTCTCCGCACACAATGGATACACAAGAGTTGTGACAACCGTAAAGGGATTGTTTTTTTTGGGCAACCACCAATCTCATGTGTGTAGAAGAATCGACGGGTATAGCAAAATATGAAATGTGGAATTCAATTGATGTGGGCGTCTGTTGAAAAGCTATTCTCTGTATGGGTCGCTAGCTGGATGATAAGGCAATTCTGGGGAAAGGTTGTTTGGGATCATGTCGAGGTGGTTTTGAAGAACTCCCTCCTCTTTTGGCAGGGTTGTCACGGTCTCTGTGTCCTCTGCCTTGCCTTGCTCATTGGGCTTCAAGAGCTCCCCCGCCTGAAGGCTTCTCAACATTGGGGGCTACCGTGGCATCCTAGGAAGATATGGGGTCATAAAAGGAGATTATGTAAGTCCCTCTTGACCATTATTACGTAGAGATCATTTTCACTAATTCCTACCTGTGCTTCCACCGCGTCCACGATGTCCGCGGTTGGAGGCACCGCATCCGCTTCGAGCGTCACGGCCTGAGCCTCCTTGGCGGGTGCAGCTGCAGGTGCCACAGCCTCTGTGGTGGAGGGCTTGGCTGCTGCCTTGGAGCCGCTGCAACCCATGGTGCTGCTGATGGCAAAAGAAGCAGAGAAACGGGAATTGAGTCGCTTGAGCCAAACTGTCAGACGGAGTGCTCAATGTGCTGTACTTCCTCAGGTCAACAGCGGAAACCCGTGAATGCTTGAAGCGGGCCTCTGAGGGTGTTTGATGGGCTATATACAAGAAGAAATGGGGCCTGGGGGTCCTTTCTGTGTGTGCGTGTCTATATATACATATTCACACATAATACGCTTTTGTATTTGCTTCCTTCAGGGGAGCCCTGCAACGAAAACAGAGCTAGCGGCACATAGCGATAATAGCTGCTCAACAGACACCCACATCAATTGAATCTCACATTTCATATTTTGCTACACCCGTCGATCATTCTACACGCATGAGATTGGTGGTTGCCCGGAAAAAACAATCCGTTTACGGTTCTTACAAACTCTTGTGTATCCATCGTGTACAGAGACCACTGAACAAGTAACGAATCCTAGTTGATCTCTCAGAGTATCCCTATAATGCTCTCCTAGAGTCACTGCTCAGCCCGCCTACATGTCCTGCACGTCTTTCGGGGGTACCCGATATTGAGCACCCCCCAGGTAGAGGAGGTGGACGCTGGGGCTCCAGAGGTGCGCTTGAGACTGCAATTTGCTGGTAATGTGCTGGCCATAAGGGTGTATGGGGATGTATAAAACTCTATGAGCGTAGAAAATGGTATATTGTGAAATATGGTGTTATATGGGTACGAGAGTTCTGCAGGGGTACATAAGGTTTAGGGTTTCCAAAGTTGGGGGGGGGTTGAAACTTGTGGCAGCGACCAATATTTACATATATTCGAAGGCAAATATCAGTGTAACATGCAATTCGATGTGCTTTTCTGCGAGGCCCGTCCGCCAAGCACGGGTGACTTGCAGTGTCCAATTATGTGGCGGCTGCCTGTTTGCAGCAACGATCCACTAAATTTAGCAAAACAGAAGTCTACTTCCAAGACTTCTTGGCTAGGAGCATGCCATTGCACTTTCCTAAGCACCTTCCTAAAATACTGTAGCAACTTGCTCACCAGAGACCAGCGCATGTGCAAGCGCTTGCCGGGGCATCACCCTCAATCTTCACATCCTTCGCATCACCACCAAGCGGTGAGTCCTGGGAGTTTCTCTGATTAAAGCTAATCTGGGGAAGCCTAGGGGTACGTAAAGATTACGAGTTACGAGGGGATTCCAGGAAGCACTGTTAGGGCATGTCAAGGTTGTTTTGAAGAACTCCCTCCTCCTTTGGCAGGGTTGTCACGGTCTCTGTGTCCTCTGCCTTGCCTTGCTCATCAGGCTTCAAGAGCTCCCCCGCCTGAAGGCTTCTCAACATTGGGGGCTACCGTGGCATCCTAGGAAGATATGGGGTCAT